CCTTGCTGACTGGGGAGGTTGCAAGACAACCTGGGTCACAGACTGAACCACCTCAACACAGAGCAAAGACTTCTATAAAACAAGGATGAGGCGTTTTCTTAATGCTCGGGTGCTCTCCTGACTCAGCTGCTTTCGGTGATGACAAGCCCCACCAAGCCTGCTGGTATTAATGAGACCGGTTGGAGGTGGTTTGTGGTTCTAGGGAGGTCTAGTCCGTATCCGTAGCTCATTCAGTGTCAATACCAAAAACTCATGCTCTTGTAGTGTTCCAGAGGTCCTTGTTTGTGTGGAAGTGTTCTCAGAGACCACACTCTGGGTGACTGTCATCAGCAAGATATCTACGTGGCTAGTTCTTGCCAAGATGTGTTATCAAGCCAAAGAGAATGAGTGAAGTGACTTCAGCATCTCCAGCACCAAGGAGAGCTCCAGGAGCCTCCTGGGAAGCTGAGGAAGCCTCGGAACAAGAACCAGGGCAGCTCAAGTGCAGGCTCACTCTGCACCATCCCACCCCTGCCTCCTGCTCTGGCGCCTTCAACCCCCCTCCCCAAACCCTGGAAGCCTGGAGAAGCATAGCCTGAAAGGCCAGAGATGTGGCGGCATCATTTCTGCCAAGTTCACAGCCTAACAGTTAGGAAGCACAGACAGCTGTGGAGAAGAGGGAGTGCCAAGCAGAGTCTGGGCAGATCCGAGAGGAGCGGGTCCTTTCCATGCCCAGACTCTCTTGCCAGAGGTGAGTGGGGGAGAAACGTGGGCACGAGCCCCCTGGATTACGGGCAAAGTTGCCAGAAGTGTTTGCCTTCTTCCCTTGATTGGTGCGGCAGATCCTAATGGGGCACGATGCTGCAGGGTGGAGTGTGCAGGAGCTGGACAGGGAGCTCAGAACATCGGGGACAGAGTGAGAGGAAATAAAGAATCACAGATGCAAACACGGGTGGGGGTGAGGGAGGCACGTCTCTGCACTGGCAGCTGCTCCCTGTGCAGAATGACGTATTCAGAGCCACCTTGTTTTCTAAGTTTTATGACAGCATACAACCACGGCAGCTGCTTCACCTTTGTGTGGCAACCTGAGACCAAAACAAAAACACTATTCTGGGGACGGTGACTTTAAAAGGGAAACTGCATATCCCTCAGGAGCCCAAGTTTCTACTTGGAAACCCAGCTGCCACAGAACGAGAATATGGTGCCACCAGTGGTCCTGTCTTCCCTGGACCGGCCCCTAGCATCATAGGGGGAGGAGAAGGAGCTGGGACCTCCTTCTGGATTCATTCACCAGCCCCCCACTCTTTCTTAGGGCAGATACAGAACAAGGAAGGGGGATCAGGTTTCAGACTAGGGATGGCATCTTCCTATGACTCTCCAATGTTCTGGGCTGAATTGTGTCCCACCCAAATTCACAGGGTCCACTCCTGGCCTCCAGTAGCTCACAATGAGACTTTATTTGGAAATAGGGGTCCTGCAGGGGCGCCTGGGCGGGGAGCTCAGTTGGTCAAGCATTCGACTTTGGCTCTGGTCATAATCTCACAGTTCGTGAGTTCAAGCCTCATTTTGGGTTCTGTGCTGACAGCTCAGAGCATGGGGCCTGCTTCGGATTGTGTGTCTTCCTCTCTCTCTGCCCCTCCCCACTTATGCTCTGTCTCTGTCTCTCTCTCTAAAAAATAAATAAACATAAAAAAAAGAAATAGGGGTACTGCAGCTAGAGCAAGTTAAGAGAAGATCGTATTGGAGTGGAGTGGGGCTCCAAACCGAAATGACCGGTTCCTAATAAAAAGGGGAAGTTTGCACACAGATTCCCTCTCTCTCTCTCTCTCTCTCTCACACATACACACACACACACACACACACGTGCACACAGAGAGAACACCGTGGGAACATCGGATTTCTGCCACAAGCCAAGGAATTACCAGAAGCCAGGACACAACCCGGGACAGATCCTTCCCCTATACTTTTTGAGGGAGCACAGTCCTCCCCACACCTTGATTTTGGACATCTGGACTCCAGAACTGTGGAACCATAATTTCCTACTGTTCTAGGCCACCCAGATTGTGGTACTTTGCTCCAGCAGCCACAGCAAACCAGTAATCCAGGCTACAAACCCAAACCCCACAAGCAAAACCAAACTAAACAAACAAACAAACAACAACAAAACAGTGAAAATGGACACTACACGTCCCTGCCTGGGATGTCGCGACTGCCCCCTGACCAAGTTGCTATTTTAGGGAAGACTCTATGTGGGTCAGTCCTGGGAGCCAACCATGGCAGACCAGATGTCTTGAATGGCCAACATCCAGCCCATTTGAAATTACCCTCTGCAGAAAGGAGGCGAACTATAAATCCCCTAAAGCAGGTCCTCTCAGTGTGGGCGCTGTTAACATCTGGGGCCTGATCGTTCCTTGCTGTGGGGACGCTGTCTTATGCGTGTGACGTAGCAGCATCCCTGGCCTTCACACATCCGATGCAGGCAGCACACTGCTCCTTGGCTTGCAATGACCATCATGCCCAGATGTCTCCTCAGGGGGCTGTGGGGGCAGCAATGTGCGCCCTGGTTGAGGACACTGTCCTAAAGGAGCCTGTCATGCTTTCTTAGACCCCTTGCTTCTGAAGCTAACGCCCAGGAGTAAAGCCCAGAGCCTATCTAAAAGGCTCTCTTTAGAGGCAAAAAACCCCCTGCAAACCAGACTCCCAGTAGACTGGTGGGCAGTAGATCTTGAATCATTCAGTCTTTCTCAGTCTGAGTCATTCGTGTGGGTGGTTTGGGGGCAGACCCGACAGGCACCTTTGACTGCTAAACTCCTGAGCTGGCTGTCTCTTGAGGGAAGTAATGTGGGGACCTCCCAGCTCCCTGCAAACCTATGTTCCTGCCTTCTTTGTCCAACAGTCGGTGGAGATACTTGCTAAAGAGATCCTGGGGAACATGCCACATCCCTGGACCGCCTAGCCCTTCTTCCCTGTGGCTGGAGAAAAGCCTCTCTAGTCATTGCCCAGCACCAAGAGGCTTCTGTCGTGTTTGTATATTTGGAAAACTGTCACCATCAACTCTACCGAATTTATTCAGCCATTTTGGGCCCCCATATTTATTTTCTTGGCTTCCGTTCAAAAGCAAGAGCTCCATGCACTAGTAAATGGGTACTAGAGTCCCAATTTCCTCCTCTCACTGGTGAGCAAATTGAGTTTATTTTAATGGTATCCAGGCTGTTGATTTGTTTAAATCAATTAAATGACCAAAGCGGTATTGTTTTTTCTGCTTGTTAAAGGCAGTTATGTATCCCATTCATCAATGTGTCTCAGGGCATTAAGCCCCTCACTGATTCAGGGGAGGTTTTCCCTGGGGAGCCCGTGGCCAGTTTGGCCATCGGCCAGCTCGCAGCCTCAGAAACAAATAGAAGCTCCTGGGGGGCAGTGTATGTGAGCAGCAGACAAAGGCACCACCCCAAGCTAAGACAGAAAGAGAGCATGTGTGTTACTGTGGGTCCTGTGTGCTGGAAAAGGCAACACATAAATTATCTATCGATTCTGCAGTGGCTCTGGGGTGCGGGGAGGAGACAGAGTGCACCGCCTGCTTTCCTGAGCTAATTAGAAGGAAAGAATGCTCACTCTTCGTTGCAAGGATGCTTTCAATCGTTGGTCTATCGTTAAAACGTTTTCCTTTTAAGAAAAGATGGCTTAGGCCTTCCTTCTCCAGCGCTTACAGACCTTTGGCTGGGGAACTGATGTGCATGTCAGCTCTTTTATGTTGACTGGTCCTCCGGATCCATACCTCTTCTCTTTCTGGAGCCGGTCCTTGGCCTTGGCAATGGCTTCACCCAATAAAGAGAGCCAGAACACTTAGCAGCAGAGTAATCATGCCATGGACCCTTTTCTTTGCAGGGGGGATGAGGTTGTTGTTGAATGGGAGTGGCCTGAGTGCACTGCCCCCTCCCATCCCTAGGCTAGAGGCCGTTCACAAAGCTAGGTGCCCTCACGGTATCTTGGTCTGCCCCATCCGTTGAACGGGGCAATTGATGATGCATAGGAATTTGGTGGTATGTTTTACTAATTCCAAATATGTGAAAATACATCAGACAAGCCCCAAAGTGCTCAGCAGGCGTAGAAGACACTGGGCCCGAGCAGCATGGCTTTACTGAGAAGGCTGCCTTATTGTCTTTGCTTTCTTAGAGTAAGCCCTAGTGCCAGCTGGCCTAGGCACTCAAAAACCTGAGCAGCTGGGGCAAGGACTTCACCTTTCAATCTACATGAAGATAAGCAAAGCCCCCACCTCCTTCCAGCATCCCCTGATGGTGGAGAGCAGGGTTTCTCAACCTTGGCCTATCAACATTCTGTGCTGGCTGATTCTGTGGGACGCTGCCCTGTGCATGGTGAGGTGGTGAGCAGTATCTGAGCTTTTCCCCAGCAGACTCTCCAGACACTGCCTGAGGTTCCCTGGGGGCCAGCACTGTGGTTGAGAACAAGGCCCTTACCACCCCAGAAATAGCCTGATCTGAACCTGTCTTTTGCTCTCTATTTTTTTCATTCCATGTATCCAACGGCTCCAATAAGGGAGGCCCTTTGGAATTTCTTGCCTTGGCGAAGGCACACAATCATAAGCTTTTGGCTCACCTTTTCCCTCAGAGGTGGTTTCCTCTGCAGGGATCTCTGCAGACATGAGCTGGGCTCAGACTGTCCAAACAAGAGCCCAACCTGCTCTTCTGGATGCATGCTCTTCTGAAGCACGTGGTGGGACAGTGTCAGTTGGTCCATACAACGTCACACCCAACCCCAGGACCCACCCACGGAGACTTGGGAATGTTTTCTTGCTGGCTGAAGTAGGAAAACTTTGTCTTGAAAATAATGAAGATCCAGAGAGGAAATTTTACAATCTATGATCTATGATAGGTATAGAAACATGAATGCTCATATTCTTAGAGTAGGTCTCAGATAGTATTGTTAAAAAATGTATAAATAAACAAAGAATATTTTTAAGAGTCCTTTTGAGGTCATGGCCTCAACTCATGGCAATTCTTTTCTTATGTATTTTCATATTATGTTTTTTTTTAATAGCAACATCAGAGTAGTAAATATACACAGGAAAGTTGATATAGGTGTTGCATGTACAATGTTTTTCCAAATACATAGCTTTGAAATACAGAAACAACTTAAAAAAAATCTGGAATAAAAGTTCACCTGTATGGAAATCACACCCAGCCCCCACCCACCTCCCCCACTGAAATATAGAGTGTCATTTCTGTTTATTAACAGGATTATGATATGCATTTAAGGAAAAACACAACAGTAAGCTACAATAGTTTAACTCTTTCAAGAAGATGGTATATAAATATGTCTATAAGGACAGCTGTGGTGTAGATGTATGTATAACACTTATACAGAGAGGCTTTCGTTTTGCGGTTGAAAATTAACAAGTGCTCCAGGTAAAAGTATAAATAAACAGGTAACAGTTTATTGTATCAGAAAATAATTTAGGAAAATCAAAATAAACCCAGCTTTACTTTACATGAGTAAGGGGGGGGGGCGGATAAAGTTTTACAACATGTAACTTAACACCTGTGGAAATAGGCCCCGGAGGCCATCAGCATTTAATTCCTCATGTTGTGGTTCAGGTTCACGGTCTGTGAATTTTCCAGTTCCATGGGTGAGCTGGGGAGGAGGAGAGAGATGGGCCCATCCTTAAATGTATAGAACTAGGCCTGGTGAATTCGAGTGTCATTCAAATGTACTGAGAATGTGGAAAATGGAAACGGATCCTTCCGTTTCTCAGATATGTGGCTGTCACGAAGATGCCCCATGTGAAAAATCCAGCCAATAATCTGGATATTTCCCTGGGGATTCTGTTTAGCCCGCCCTAAAAGCCCAGGTGTGGCCAATGGCTTGACGATGCGAAAGCAAACGCAAAGCATGGAAATGGTTGACTGCCTTTTCCCTTCATGATGGCACTCACGATGATAAGATTAGCCAATGACAAGTGAAACCGGCAAAGAGGCATTCAAAGGCTAGTTGGACTTCCTTTGTAGAAAACATACACAGAAGCCAGACTTGTTAAGCGCGTAACCATGCAGAGATCTCTGCAACTTGTCCCCACCAGTTTAACATTGAATGGACAGTGTCCACTGAACTAAACAGTAATTGAAGGGTTTCAGACATTTCCCTTCTGTTGGGTTATTGGTATTTTCTAAATGTTTTGCAGTGAACATTTATTCCTTTTGGGGACAAAAAGGGGAAAATAATTTAAAAGGAGAATCCGTGCTTCTTCCTCCAATGTCCAGTTTAACGCCTGTCTGGGTCTAAGTCAAGTTCAAGAAGAGTCCTGATCAATAGCATGTGTAGAGAGACTGAAAGCCTTAATCTCTTGCTGATCCATACCTCAATCACGAGTTAAGTAAACTGAATCAACAGTGTTATTAAAGCTCAGGGAAGGCTTTGTTGTTGCTGTTCTGCTTTTCATTTGAGTAGGTTTTAACTGAAAGGTAACTGAGTTCTGGGCCCCAGCACCCGCCATTTTGCTTCTCCAGGGAATGTGGGAGGAGGAAAGGATCCAAATGGGGTTGCCGGAGCAAAGGGAAAACAAAACAAAACGAAACTCTCGTCTTTAAGAAAACAATTACCTGGAGCCCCAAGCTGGTCACATGTTTCCCCCAAATTTCTTTTTCATTCCAAAACTTCACAAGTTCCCACACGTCCTTCTCACCACAACTGCTGGTGAGTGTTTCAGGAAGCAGCAGATGCCGTGGATGGGGGTGTCCTGTCTTCCCACTGAGCAATGCACACACGGGGGTCTCTGAAACGGTCACTGAAGCTCAAGCCGTTCTGTGTCATCTTGGGCTGGGAATTCCTCTTTAAGGGTCAACTTTATGGTCAGTTGACTGAGGCCCAACTTTGCTAAGGGTCTTTCACCCTTCTGGCTTCTGAGGAAGCAATCCGAATGCAAGCGAAAAGCAAACAAAACCCGTATTTTTTAATGGGTCTGTAGGTCATGACAGTTCAGTTCAAGGAGTGTGTGGCCACATGTGGGATCTCTCGTGCCAGCTGATTTAGCAAAGCCAGCTGCCCACCCCTGTCTTTAAGGTCCTTCGCTGGGAGGACTGTTGTGCTTGTTTTCAGAAGTGGCATAATACCCAGAGCACCTTAGCTCCCTCCCCTCCGGGGCTTCCATGTAAGTTCATGTTTTCCTGCTAGAAACTCATCAAGAAAAGCACTCGTGTTGACTTTAAATTGTAGGCACTCATATACTATGATATTATAAATCCATATGCATAAAAGAGAGAATTCAGGGTGGACCTCCCAGCCCAAAACAGACTTTGGAGGTAGAGGGGGAAGGGCCTTCTGGTGGAAAGCCTGGTCAAGAACAGTGCTGTGGGCTTGCTGTCACACCCTTCCATGGAATTCAGTAGCCTACGACTTCAGCAGAGCCCCTCTCTCCTACTCCTGCTGATCCCCCAAAGTTTGGAAATGGAGGTTGGGGTGTTACAATGGCTTTGAGACTAGCCCTTTTGGTTTGTGATGAGTCAAGAGGAAAGAGTAAATGATTCTCTTGGAAATGGGATGGTGGCCCAGGAGGTTGGTACACTCATGTTTGCCTTTGCAGCTCCTGCATAATGATTTGAAGTACCTATCCAGGGGTCCTCAAGGGGTCCCCCTTCCTAGATTTTTAGTGGCCACGAGTCTTCACCGTACACAATGGGGCCAGAAAGTAGATGTTAGCACTGCAAAGAGTTCTTGCCTCTCCCGTGGCTAACATTCTCCCCGATTCCCCAGAAGCAACAACTTGCCAGATCCATCAGGAATAGCACTGACAGTTGCCAACCCAAAAGCCACAAGCATCAACACGGAAGCATTTTACGGCACAATCTCAGAAATCCGACAAAAACTAACCAGTGTGATCAGCTGAGTTAACGTCCACACAAGAATGACGCTGGTGCGGATTTGTTGTTTGGTGTTGCAGATATCTAGGTGTTGAGTTATGTGTGAAAATCCGGGTTTCTAGGGGGATTCTGTCTCATGGAGAGACCACCTGGGACAGAACTAATTCATACAGAATTTCTTAAAACCTGATCTTCCACATCATTCTCACCACACGTTACTCAGCAGGTGTTTTACTGTGAGATTCAAGATATCGGCAAGAGTTAATTCAGCCCCAGGGGATGTCTTAGCAACTCCAATGGCTTATTGTATTAACCTATTTAACTTACACTATTCATGGTACGTGTGTGTTCTGATTCTACCCTACACAGAAGAGCTATGCCCCTTTATGCATCCACTGACCCTCGCCTCACTACTGACTGTTTAAACTACCCCACCCCAAGGTCTCATAAACCCATGTGTCCCATGTGCATAAGGCTGGCCCAGTTTAAACCATGTCTCTTAAGCTGTGGTTGTTCTATACATGACTTAGACTTATGGGTTCATTCGAAACTCTTCTCTTGATTCTAGGCACCGTAACTCTTGGAGCATTTAGCGAGGAATCCATCAAGTTGGGAATGCAACGGGGCTACTGGGAAGTATAGCATTTATTCTAGCATTCCAGCTCCAACCCAGACACATGGTATAGCCAAGCTGACCATTCTCTTCAATTGCCTTTACCACTGGGCGTGGGCTGTGCACTCACAAGGGTGGAGTATAGACCTGTCACTGGCATGGTGTCTGAAAAGCCATGGAGAGAAGCCCCTCACCCTCACACCCCTACTGTCTATGCACCACTGCCTTAACGAGCCCATGACAAGCATCTGTTCTATGGGTCTTTCTACGATCACGGTGCATTGTGTGCAGCTTTCTCGTCTGCTGCAGCCTATGCGTTTCACTCCCTCCAGACAAAGTGAAACAGAGCACAGGGAGGAGGTACAAACCCGTCCTAGCCTGGCTGTCCCTGTTCTGGTGGGGCAGCTCCTCTGGTAAAATGCAGGCACTACTAATGGCCTTTTGGCAGAAAGGGCGATTGGATAGAGTTGAATCCCCAGCTGGAGACTGCCCGCTCACACATCGGCCGACTTGTACTCCAGAAATTGGCGATAGTGTGTTTGCTGGTTGAGATCTTTCTCAAATCATTTGAGGTCGAAAAGAAGATTATTTCTGTTTGCTTGGTGGCTGGGGTGATCTAAACAATGATGATTCTCTGCCTACGCCTCTATTCACCCATTCCTTAGTTTTGAATGCAAACTCTAACCCCAGAAATGCAAAACTGTGCACAGCCATGCTCCACAGTTTTTGGAGGGAAGGAAGGGCTGGCAGCACATTTCAAAATGTCAAACAACTATTTAAGACCTCGCCCAACCCCCACGAATAATGCTGAGTGCAACTAACACACAGATCTTGGCTCAGAGCAGGGGACGAAAAGCAACTTTGTCTTCATAGCCGGAAGCACATCTACGTAAAATAAGTCAGGAAGAATAATCAAAAACTCTCAGATGGTGAGAGTTTTGCTCATTTATGTGGGCTGTGCTATTTACATTGGAAAACAAACAAACGATCAAAAAACCAGTATGGCATAGCAAATTGACAAACTGCACCAAAATAACCATTCCAAAATTACATGAATCACGGCGTGTTTTGGAGTATCTGCTTACTTAAAAGCAGATGTTGTTTAAGAAGTATGCTGCTAAGTGTGATCAGTATTGAGGGTGAGCTTTGGAGAAGGCAGCTGCCTTCTTTTCTGTTACCAGGACGGATGACTCTCCCTGGGGACCCCAGTGCTCTGTGGGCTGTGCCGCCTTGGTCCTTGGATTCCTTTGTCCTCCTTGAGACGTGGTTGACCTAGCTGTGACTTGGCAATGAACATACATATGCGCATGGGGAGGGGTCCTGGAGAGAGGCAGCGCTGGAGGAAGAGGGAAGTTCATCACTGGAGTGATCGCCCTCGTAGCAGGCCCTCGGTAAGGAAGCCACAGTCCCCAGGAGATGCAAACAGCCCCCTCCTCTCTCCCTGCTATCACTCTGCCCCGTTCTCTTCCTATCACTCACCCCCCTCTATGGAAATCATTATGTTTTGCTTCGATGTTAATTATCTGCCTCCTCCAAGAGTGGAAAGTAAAACCCATGAGGGCAGGATCATGTCCACCTTGCTCGTCACCGTGTGGCCAACATGACAGAAGTTGGAGCCTTTGCGTGAGCAGAGGAACAGTGACTTCTGGCAAGCCACAGAGTGGCTTCTCTTCCAACTGCATCTGTGGGTAGTGTCTTCTTAAGGGACACATACCGTGAAACAAGAATGGCCCTGGAGTGTCGACAGAACTCAGGATGCTCAGCGCCTTTCCCTGCTGTGATGTGAGGGGCGACTCCGTGGAAATAAGAGGGAAGATGGTTCAGGAGAGCATGGACACTCACTCATGCTGGGACCTCCCTGATGAGACAAGGTGACAATGTCACAATAATGGACAAAGGAAGGTGGGTACAGAAGGCATGGGAAGACCCAGCCCGACCGTCATATCGCTGCAGGTCCCGACCCCGAACCTCAGCCCTGGCTTCTTGTCTTATCTCCCAAGAGACTGAGGTCAACCCAGCTTCCTGAGCTGCTGCTGATACTGGACCATCTGGGAAAAGAGGCAAAAAAAAAAAAAAAAAAAAAAAGAACTCCACAGGCAGTAAGAGTCAAGCAGAGACCTTTCAAGGCAAAAGGGCCAATTCTCTGGTGTGTGCATTTCATAACAAGACAAATGGGAGTGGACATCCCGGCACAACGTTCCTCAAGACCGAAGCCGGTAAGGAAGACTCTGCCTGATGCTAAAATGTGGCTGAGAAAACAGCAACAGATCTGTGAGATGGAAGAATGTTCCAAGACGTCAAGGTCACAGGAGTAAGGACCCAATTCCCGGGGGCCAATTCAGAGGCAGCGGGATTTGCTGATGAGTCCAGGCTCCGAAGTTGCAAATGGTGCATGAAGGACCAGAGGAGCGGGCCGAATGCCTCACAAGACGTGCACCCAGAGTCGGGATGCAGAAGGACCGGAAACACGTGGAAGAAAACACGGACTCCCTCCTGTCCCTCCCGTGCAAGAAGGACACTGTGGACACAAGCTGCCTTCCGACGTGCCCCAGGGGTCCCTATGCTTCCACGCCGCACGTGAGCAAGCAGCGGCTGAGTAGGAAGACCCAGTAGGCACATGGCCCGGCTGTGCCCTGGACGCCACTGGAAGCCAAGCCCAGTGGGGAACCACCAGGAAGCTTTCCCGGCTGAGCCAGGAGCCCCTCCCCCTTGGCATTCAGAGCTTGTCAACAAAAGTAATTACACCCATTCTTTCAACCAGATAAGGATGACATCGCGAGCACGGAGATCAGAAGTAATTAAGCCTAGAAACAGACTTGACTGGACAGCAGAGTGCCCAACGCCCAGCCTAGCTGTTCTGAAAGCGTTAATGGCAGATGACGGACGGTGGTCCAAGTGCTGCGGGGGGGGGGGGGGGGGGGGCACGACTGTGGACTGCAGAGTCGCCAAGGGAGGAGGTGGAGGTGGACAAAAACTGGGGAACTTACCAAACCATAATGCCCTTCCTCTCGGCACCTTTCTTGGGTGGGGGGGGGGGGGGAAAAAAAAAAAAAAAGCTAGAGCAAATGTGAGGACCCAGCAGACGGACCTCTGGCCGAATAATGCAAGGCAGCCTTGAGTGAACTTGAACTCCAGGAGGCTGAGGGGAGCGAGGGCTGCGTGTGGAGGGACAGCCTGGCCACACCCGGCATGTGGACACTCAGGACGCCTGCACCTGTGTGCGTGGGCTGGACTCGGAAGACGCCCGTGCTGTCTCACTTTACAGACCTCCTCGTGGGTGGGACTGAGTTTTGTAAGCCTGCTTCCTTTCCTTCCTTATCACCCCCGTACAAAGATGATGCTTCCACGTTTCCCGGTGACCACCTAAAACCTAAAATCCCTACGCGCACTCCCTCAGCCACCGTGGAACAGTGGCCTTCCCCAAGGTGGATTTGTTTCGACCGATGTCAACCCAGAGCTAGACTTCCTGGTGAGGAACGTGCAGGTGTGGGCGCAGGCCCCAGCCCCGCCCTGAGCGCGTGCCCAAGGGGCTGTGTTTGGTGGGTGGGTGGGGGTGCTATTTTAAGCTTCCTTCGAAAGCTCAGCGTCACTCGGGGCTCTGGAAAGGGTTTCGGCATCCTGAGGTCCGAGGCAGGGGCTGAGCAGCCATCACACGTGCGGTGTGGACACCAAATTGTGTCGTCGTCAGGAATCCTGGGTTCCTGCTGTGGGTGAATGAACAGGCCCCTGCCATCACCTCCTTCCCGGTCAGGCTCCTTGGAGCTCAAGGGGTCAGAGAGCAGAGGGCAGCTTGCACCGCCCTGCAGGGCACGGACAGCCCTGGCCTCGAGCTCACACCAAGCCAGCCGTGCTCACCTGAGTCAGGAAGTCCCCAGGGCCACCTCCAAGTCCACAGGTAATGAGACAGGTGGGCAGGGTGATGCATGGAGACAGGTGCACCCTCCAGGGCCACGCGGGTGAGCCCCAGGAGCCTGGAGATGCCAGTGGCCGGGGGTTTCTGCGTTGTCCTCCGCACGTGCCACAGCTTCAGAGAAAAACAACAAAACCAAAACCCAAACCAAAACACCGACTTTCCCACGTGGTGAGTAATTCCAAATAACACAGACTTAACACTAAGGTTTTTTTTCCTCGCCTGGCATCTTTTTGCCTTCCCATATGCCAAGAGAGAGGTGCAGAAGCTAGCTTTTCAAGCACATTTCAGGATGTTACAGAGGGAGACCGGGCCCCGGGGAAGCACTGTGAGGCCACCGGCCCAGCCGACGAGTGCGGGCAGGGTTAACCTGGTCTGCGGGGCATTTCGGAGACCAGTTCACACACACGAGACGGGTGCAATCAAATCACAGGTGGGCCATTCACAGAAGCCAGGCCACAGGCACCTAATCTGGGGTCCCCACGAGGAGAAAACAGCTTCCCTTATAGCGCCCCTTACTGACGGCACGGATGGGGCACCAGGGCACCATTAATTATATGGCTGGAATTGGGAGGGAGTAGCCAGCCCCGGACATGGCAGTATTTCTAGCGAATTACGTGTGGTTGGGATTCGCTGTAATGAGGCTCCAGCCTCGGGCCCCTATTTCCACCGGAAAAACCCACTGCAGGACTCCTCACGGCAAGACACAAACGTTGACTGGCACCGGCAAGAGAGCGTAGCATCTGCTACCGTCCCGATCAAGATTCAAAGTCATGCTTGGGCCCTAGAAAGAGCAGGCAGTCCTGTCCACCACCGGCACGTGGGAAAGAAACGTGGACACACGTGGGGCACAGCACCCATGGGGCACACCTGGGTCCTCTGCACGTGGAACTGTTTCCTCATTTTCGAACAAACAGGGGCCCTCGTATGTTTTTGGGTTCTGCTCTGACATACGCACACACGTGGTAAGGATACATTCCTTTAATTTTTGGAACTGGAAAATTTTCTTTAATTCAGTCTCTGCTTCTTTAACACAAAGATGGCCAAGAATCCACCACCCGCCCAGTCTGATGCTTCGTCCCCTTTGTAAGCAGCCGGCTATGTAAATGTGTGCATGGCTGTTAGGTAGCTTCTTCAAACAATTAAATGAAAAGCGATCATATTTATGTGTCTATATATATATATGTGTATATATATACATATATATATATATATGTATGTATATAAAACCCACGGCATTCTTAACTCTGGCCCAACAGAATACATTACACATCGAGTGCCCCTCACCAAATACCAGCAAATGCAAGATGTGTCATTTAGGGGCTCCCTTTGTGTGGGTCCAGACTGTCCCCTGGGATGGGTGGCAATGGGGTACCAGGTCACCAGAAAGAGTATGCTCACTCATGGAACTGTGTTTCCAATACAGGCCTCTATATGCGCGTGTGTGTTTGCGTGTGGGCGTCTGTGTGCACGCGTGTGTGCATGTCGCCAACATAGAAAACACCGGTTTATCCTGTTCAAACTAAGCATTAAATAAATCAGATTTTGTAACCGATAACGTTTTTTTTTTTTTAAAAAGGAACATTGAGGATCTTCAAAAATCGCTACAGTACAAAAAAAGTGTGTGTGTCTGTGTGTATTTATATATTTATATATGTATATTAACCAGAAATAGCGACTCTGTCGGAAGATTCCCACCCCTGTTTTCTGTGAGATTTCTACACGTGGTTCGCTTGGCTTCGGCTTTGTCACCAAGTCTTTCGGGTCAGTACATGGCACATAATGGTATTATTGGCAAAGGTTCAGAATCAGTACAAATCCCAGGCTTCAGGTGCTTCCTGCTGGCCTTCCTTCTCGTCTCCAACTTCTTTCTTGCTTTGCTTCTCTCCATTCTCCAAAGAAAACTCTGGCAGAAGGCAGTTCCCCATAGGCGTGAGCATTTTTATAAAAATATATTTGGCCTATAGCGTCCTGCTCTTTGAGCTTCCCACCGGCAAACTGAAGCAGTACATATGGGGACCCTCCCCGTACAAAGTTTACTTGTAGGTTTTGTGTGTGTGTGTGTGTGTGTGTTTAATTATTTTATTTATTATTTTTTTTACAGGTTCACCAACGGAATCCTGTGTGGAAAGAAAACAAGAAGAGATTAACTAGCAGGGGGAGTCAGGGTGGGAGACGCTGCACAGCCGAGCCCCAGGCTGCTGGCTGGCTTACAGACATGGTGTCCCCAGAGCAGGAAGGGTGTCAGCCAGCTCTGGTCACCAGGGAGTCCCAGGGACCTCGCACTAATCACGGTAATCGATGGAGGAGCCTTTTCTGCTGCCCGCACCAGGAGTGGGTCTGGGCCACCCCTGTGTGAGCTATGAGGGGGGCCACACATCCCAAGCCCGCAGGGGACCGAACGCATCCAGCGCTGTGTGGATGGTCTCTCCGGCTCCTACCCACCAAGGGCAGAGGGGCCGCCCGCCCCATCCCTGAATGGCGGGAACCACGCAGTCCATTTCAGTCCTCTGCTCGGCTGGAGGCTGGGACTGGGAGACATTAATGCATTGTGTCAGAAAGACCACCTACTGGGTGTCCCTGAGAGGTGATCTTGCTGAAGAGAGAAAGGCGGCGAGCCACAAGCTTACAGGCCACGTCAAGTCTACAAGGAAGCAAGGAAGGGGCGGCCCGGGCATAGCCTCAGAACCTAGGAACCTCAAAGCCTTCCCATGTCTGTCACAGACCCCAGAGTCAGGCAGCCACCGGCGTCTGGGCATGGCCAGGTGCATCAGGCCGCGTCACGGCTCAGCATGGGGGCGCTTTTGCTGAAAGCCACAGCTCTCGCTCCCAGGACGGGCACTGTTTCTCTCTGCTGTCACTTGGACCCCCCGCACCCTGTAACTACAGGAAATGAGGACCCTCGACCAGTATATCGGGGGGGGGGGGTGACGCCACACCCTCACCTGTGCCGGTGATATAAATGGGCGGGGGTGGGGGGAGCATCAACGGTTCTAAAATGAAACAGTGAAGCTCTCAGCTGGAGCTCTGACAGGTCCACAGTGGCTCCTGCGGCTGGATGGGCCCTGTCCTAGTCACCTGCTGAGTGCCTCAGACCCCTGTGCCTCCCTCTGGAGACCCAGACGCGGGTCCTGTGGGCAGGGCCTGTGACTATGGGGCTCTCTGAGCCCCCCAGGTGACTCTGATCACAGGCCAGGCTTGGGCCCATTACCCCTTTCTCAACAGGCCACAGCCTGGGCTCCTTTGTCCTGAATCAAATAAGCCTGCTGGGTGATCCTCCCGGGACTGAGGCCTAGGAGGCCCCCAGGCTGGGGGGACACATCTTCAGGCTGTAGGACAGCATCCTGCTGGGCTCCCTCTACAGCATCCAGGAGCTTCAGACTGTCTGCTCCCCCCAGGGCAGGGGTGAGGGGGCTCATTTCCTCTCTAGGAACCCTCACCCCTCCCCCTGCCCGTGGTCTGGACAACAAGGCAGGGCTCTGGCTCCCTGCTCACATCGCCTTCCACCTCCAAATGACACGTGTGGACAACTCCACGGGGGCCTAAAATGGACCATCTGCTCATCCCTGTGGGACGGCCCATCTGCTGTGAGCAGGGTGTCATTGCGTGGAAAGAGGACCGCCCTCCATAGCTTTACTCCAACGGTCCCCTGCCCGCTGCTCACACCCACTTTCCAGGATGGGGTGGGGGTGTTTTTCAAAAGGAAGCCATTAAAACAAAGAGAAATGTCTCTCCTCTATGTGTATCTTCCTTCTAATTTGTGGAAAGCTAACAATTGTGGAGACAGATTCTCTATGACTCCACTCATGTGAGGTCCCCAGAGGAGTCAAATCCAGACACAGAGAGTGGCAGGGTGGGCGCCAGGGCCTGGGGTGGGGGTTGGGGGGGCTGGTGTTTCGGGGGGACAGAGCTTCAGTTGAGGGACATGAGAAAGTTCTGGAGACGGATGGTGGGGACGGCTGCATGACACGGTGACTATACTTAATACCACCGAATGCACTATTAAAAGTGGTTAAAAAGGTCCACTTCATGTTACGTATATTTCACCCTCATTTTAAAAGCTAGAAAGTCAAAACAGTATGAGGGCACTGAAGCCTGGGCCTGACGACCCCCTGCCCGGTTTGGGCGGCCTGGGAGCCTCTCTGGCTGAAGCAGCTGTCCCTGTCCCAACAGCTGTCCTTGGTCCTGGCATGATGACCAGCAGTGCCCCCTCCTCATTGGAAGAGGGTCCTGGGCTGGAGCACAGGTCAGAGGGTGGCCCCCTTAAGAAGGCAGGTTTCCAAAGCCAAGGGAATTAAAAGCAAAAATAAACCATTGGGACCTCATGAGGATAAAAAGCTTCTGTACTGCAAAGGAAACAATCAACAAAACTAAAAGGCAACCGACGGAATGGGAAAAGATATTTACAAATGACATATCGGACAAAGGGCTAGTATCCAGAATCTATAAAGAACTCACCAAACTCTACACCCGAAAAACAAATAATTCAGTGAAGAAATGGGCAGAGACATGAATAGACACTTTTCTAAAGAAGTCAGCCAGATGGCCAATGGGCACATGAAAAGATGCTCAACGTCACTCCTCATCAGGGAAATAAAAATCAAAACCACACTGAGATGCCACCTCACACCCATCAGAGTGGCTAAAAGGAACAAATCAGGAGACGATAGATGCTGGAGAGGATGTGGAGAAACGGGAACCCTCTTGCACTGTTGGTGGGAATGCAAACTGGTGCAGCCGCTCTGGAAAACAGTGTGGAGGTTCCTCAGAAAATTAAAAATAGACCTACCCTATGACCCAGCAATAGCACTGCTAGGAATTTACCCAAGGGATCCAGGAGTGCTGATGCAGAGGGGCACTTGTGCCCCAATGCTTATAGCAGCACTTTCAACAATAGCCAAATTATGGACAGAGCCTAAATGTCCATCAACTGACGAATGGATAAAGAAGATGTGGTTTATATATACAATGGAATACTACTTGGCAATGAGAAAGAATGAAATCTGGCCCTTTGTAGCAACGTGGATGGAACTGGAGAGTGTTATGCTAAGTGAAATAAGCCATACAGAGAAAGACAGATACCGTATGTTTTCACTCTTATGTGGATCCTGAGAAACTTAACAGAAGACCATGGGGGAGGGGAAGGGAAAAAAAAGTTAGAGAGGGAGGGAGCCAAAACATAAGAGACTCCTAAAAGCTGAGAACAAACTGAGGGTTTATGGGGGGTGGGGGGGAGGGGAAAGTGGGTGATGAATATTGAGGAGGGCACCTGTTGGGATGAGCCCTGGGTGTTGTATGGAAACCAATCTGACAATAAATTTCATATTTAAATAAATAAATAAATAAATAAATAAATAAATAGAAGGGAGGTTTCCGCAAGGCGGCTTTGCGGTCCCTCATTCTGCCTTTAGTCAGACAGTCGGAGGTGACAGGCGCCCCTTGGCCCCTTCCCTCAGGCCAGCCATCTCGTGGGTGGTTTTCAGAATGGACCGTCTCCTGCCACTTTCCCACTGAAAGTCTTCAGAGCTTCGCACAGTGGACAAGGTCCTGCCTCCTCACTCTCCGAGTTCCAGGCAGCGCCTTGGCCTGAAAGGGCAAATCTCGGACTTCATATCCTTCAAGTTTCTGCAGATGGTCACATCCCTGGGGAGGCCTTCCTGGGCACCCCTCCTTTCCCAAACGTGTTCTCTGTCTCATTTCCATCAGAACGTGCTGTTACAGGACTTCTCAGGTACAGGACGATACGTACAGTCAGGGGGTGCCTACGGGTTCACCTTTGGCTCACCCGGGTTCCAGCCCTGTGCCCAGAGTGGGAAACCCGTGCTGGCTGCAGATAAGGGAAGAGGCATCTGTGTGAAAGTAGCCTTGTCCTCCGGCCCAGAGACTAAAGCCTGAAATGACCTTCACGTGCTGCCTGCAGGTGGGTTGTGACGGGGAGAGCCACATCAGAGGATTGGCAGATGGGCCCCTGAGCTGCTGGGGAGAAAGCCTCTTCCAAACCCATGGGCATCTGTTTCTACCCAAAGTCTCAGGATGAAAGAGGCAGAGAGAAAGAGAGAGAAAGAGGGAGAGATATGGCTCCAACCCTGTGCCTTGAAGTGCCACTTTAAGAGCAATATTGGCTTCCTGCAGAGGTGGGTGGGTTCCCTGCAAGGGTCTCCACAAGGGTGGCCTCACCCCATCAGGCCAGGAGGAGGGGCTTGAGGCTACCCACAGCCACTTTCCAAGTCTGCCCCGCATTCCTGCTGCTTGCACTCAGCTCCAGGGAGGGCTTGTGGTTTTCTGTTCCAAAGACTCTGTGCATGAACCTCTCAGCTGGGCACTAACCCGAGAGGGACCAGAGAGGGATGTGCATCCCAGGCCAGTCAGGAAAAGATAGCCAAGTAGAGCCCCCCACCCTCCACGTCCTGGCTGGGGAGAAACAGGGGGAGGGCGTCCGCACCAGAAAGGGAAGCTGTGTGTTGCAAAGTGATCTGAGAGATTGGGATCTGGGATAAATTCTGACTTTGGAGAAACTAGTGCCCTCTGCTGCCTGGAAGGAGATCTTGGGCTTGCCTGGCCCCGCCATTGACAGACTAACTACAAGGTGGGTCCTAGGTTTAAAGAGCAGTGTCTGCTTTTTGCAAAACAAAGAACCAACAGACTAAGGCAAGAGCGCCCTGGAGCCAGCCAGCGGCTGCTCCTCACTCAGTTTCTGCCAACCTGACGGGAACTTTCCGTCGGACTTCGCCTGCAGCTTGGAGATCAGTGTGCAGAGGGGGTTTCTGCACGTTGCTTTGAAAAAACCGTTCCTCTGAATTACAAAAGCTGGATGTGTGTGTGTGTGTGTGTGTGTGTGTGTGTGTGTGTGTGTGTGTTTTAAAACAAAGTGGGAAGGCTCAGGTGCATTTCTCGGTTTTTATTAGTTATGTCTTCAGTGTGTTTTTGAAAATAATAATGGCACATGATTTATTTCGTACTGACTTCAGATGCAAGAACTTTTATTACTTTTCAGGCTCCGTTGGGAATAAAGTGGCCTTTTGGCAAATGCAAAAGATCTGAACACTAATGAGCTTTTCGGAAGTTTACTTGTTACGTGAAAAATGACAGGAGATTTGCCCAAGAGCCAACGGCAGGCCTGTGTCTTCGTCCCCTTACTTGGTATTTGGGAAGGTCAGCTTTACCGTGACTCATCCAGAACAACGGGTGCCACTGTGGAGGTGGTCTGAGGCAAGAATTTGCTGGAATCTACTGGAGAGGCTGAATCAGGGAAACAGGATGAACATCTGCCCGCATCGGGGTGCCTGTGTCCAGGAGCCCAAGCATCACCAACAATCAGCCTGCAGGGAAGCGAACTTAACCACTCTTGGGTCCCACGTGTGCACAGGGGTTAGCGTGAGCAGACACAATGGTATGGTTACAAACTGCTATATCATCATTAAAAATGCATTTGGAGAGGCTTAACAGCTATGCAAGAGATAAATATCTCCGCTGGCTCTTAAACCTTAATTAAATGTTTTAGTATTAATTGCTATTTATTTAAGGGACAATAAGTACCCTAGTAAATCTGAGCGAACTTCCTGGCCCTTCTCCGCTCGATGCTCATGTCTGGGCATTAATTGCAAGAATCAGGGATACTTAGAATCCGAATGCTTTTCTCCCATTGAGTGATAAACAGTCTGTCCAGCACGTGGAGACGGAATCTTTAAGCATTTATCAAAGGCTAACAAGACTGTTTGCATAGCCCTGCTGGTCTGCGTCTACCGGAAAAGAAGGTGGCCAGAGCTCCACAGGTGCATGGCGGCCTCAGGGCAGGTCCTGACAGCTCTTCTCACCTCCCGACACGGCCCCCCTGGGATCCACAGTGAGTGGGTCTGGTCTGCGGACACAGAGGCATCCTCTCCCGCCAATGGAGGTGGTCCTGAAATAGCTCCTCGGACGAGCTGGCAAGTGGGGTCCAGACAAGTGGGGTCCAGACGCCCTGAGAGGAATGTGGTCCAGGCGGGGCCCGCCGGGGAGCGGCGGAAGGGGAGTGCCCGCCAAACTTGCAGGGGTCCTTCGATGCCCCGTGTTGCTTGAAGAGAGAGCTGAGCCGAGGAGACAGCAAAGCTTTCTGGAGCAGAAGAGTAAATTAAAGCACTCTTTCCTACTTTTTGTTTTTTTACGTCAGGGCTACGGCTCAGTGCTCAGGGTGCATGAGAAGGCTGTAGGCTCGGGCTTCCAGCACTCAGGAGCTCGTCTCTCGTCTGCCTGGCTCCCACGCTGCAGAATCGGGCTGAATGTCCCAGGAGGCTGATTTCGTGGGAAAGCCTACCTTCGTCGGCCACCAGCTCTCTTCCCGCATGGGGCTGGGCAGGGGGTGGCATGGGGGACAGACAGCTCCTAGCACGGGGGGCACAACCGAGGCTCTCGGATGGTGGGCAGAGCCAGGCCGCCTTGGGTCGGACCGGCCCCACCACGTGCAACCTGACTGAACTCAGGCAAGTCACTTAACTGCCTCGTGCCTCTTTCTCCTCTGTAGGTGGCACTTCCGGGAGGACAATATGAATCTCTAGATGGAAAGAGTGTCCCGTGAGTGCCCCCTGAGGGTCCACGTTAGGGAAACTGACCCCCCGCGGGGGCTGCCTGGAGGGTAGGGCATGCCCACTGCTAGGCTCTTGAAGGAGGGGAGCTGGGGTCCTGACGTGCAGGGACCAGGCCAATGTCTTATGCTCGAATGCATTTGTCAAATCCTAAGAGGCATGCTGGAGACCACCGGGCCATCCTGCAGAGGCTTTACCAGGCCGGCGGGGACCCCGCTCCTAAGAAGCAGCTCCCCGTTGCCAGCCTGGCTGGAGCTCCAAAGGGCGCTCTGTCCCTGGCCTTAATGAGGTGAGTCACGACGAGGCAGACGGAGGCATGAGAGTCTGACGGATGGGCCTCGGAGGCGCATCTGGCTCTTGAATGGTCGCGGACAAGACTGCGCTTTCCCTAACTTGCCAGCACCGTCTCAACAAAGGCCGTTTGTGGGGGGCGGGGGAAGGGAGGGGTGCTTTCTTTTCTAATCTAATTACGTTTCTTTGCCCGTTGGCCGAACATCACGCTAAGCAGGTCATTTTGGCTTCGGGACAGGAAGTGAGGGCTGGAGATTTGATTTGGGGCAAACACTCGATTCATTAGGGCTGGATTAGCACAGATTTCCCCCCCCCCGACACACACCCCTATTTCTGATGGCTCCCACAGGCCCCCGTCTACACACAGCCAGCCGAGTTCTTGGAGGAGCACACGTGCGTCCCGAGGAAACACCTTCCTGCCTCTGCCCTTCTGCCCACTCTGACCACGAGCCCCGCGTGAGGAGGTGAGCGGAAGAAGCGGTATCTTCAGACCCCGATAACCCATCCTAGAAACTGGGTCCCCTACTCAGGGAAGGGGTGTGGTGTCACAGAATATCTGTGGACGAGAAAAACCCAGCCTCAAAAAGAAAGACAAAACCAAAGAGCCCAGCCCGCGGGTTGCGTCTCCTGAACTGCGCGTGGAGAGCGTGCAGTCATGGGGGCGAAATGCTCTTTCTCCCCCAGCAGCCCGAGTGTTCGGGAGATTCGGTGCAGAAGAAAGCAATTTAACGTTAGCATTAAAGTTAATATCACTGAAAGCAAACCAAATGTTCCTATTCAGCAGAGCATGGAAAATTCATCCTGTTTTGGTGCCGGTCCCTGGCTTCAAATTAGTAGATGTCTCAACCCTTTGCTTGCTTCCTTTATCATTTGCCTTCTTATCTCTTATTTTTATATTCCAAAATTATATTTTAATTCTGCTTTGTGCCCTCCCCCGTCGACGTACAGACATTCGATGCAGGTGTGATACCTGCCCGTGTGGCCGCTGCCCTGGTCTCTGCCTGCTGAGCGGCCGGGTTTCCCTGCTGGTCCGCGTCCCTGCCTGTCTGTCCCTCCCCTCCACTGGGGCATTTCTAGCAAGTGAAGCAGAGAGACCACAAGCCCAGCCCTCCGGCTCGCATTCGTGACGGCCACACCACCTGCCATGTCCAGAAGGCCTCCCACTTATCCCGGGGTTGGGGAAGGTGAGGCAAAGGGGAAAAACAAAATCAGTCAACGTCCAGAAAAAGAGGTACGTACCATAAAATAGACACATGGCGTCTGCCCTGCCCCCAGGAGGTACACAAGACTTCGGCCAGTCAGCAGGAGATTTCAAACCATTTCTCAGACACAAAGGCCACAGGAATAAGATGCCGATCGGAGGAGGGTCTGCAGGGAGCAGAAAAACAGGCTTGCGTGTGCCGGTACAGAACAACGGGCAAGCCGGGCCGGCTCAGGCCTGCCGCCAATCACCGGCTTCTTAAGTCACAAAGAACCCAGGAGACGTAATGCTCAGCTTGGACCACCCCCCCCCCACCGGTCTTCGGCAGGAACGGGGAACCCCCCACAACGGCCAGCTGACACTCACTTCCGCCCTGGAAGGCCTTGGAGGACACACAGCCTGAGGGATCCGTGTGCAGAAGGGAGCTGGCATTCTAGATTTCAGTGTTTTAATTGGTAGGACAAGGGCAAAGCTTAGGATCTCCGCCTCTGGGGGCAGAGATAACACCCACTTTACTGTACATGCTGGATCCCGGGGGGCCTGACTCTGGAAATGGCTCTCCTGTCATCCATCACCTTTGAGACCTGAGCCATCGTTTCCGAAGGCCAGGGAGACCCAGCAGGGCGTGACCTCAGGCCCAAAAGCAAGAACCGGCTCTACCCAACGCTTCTGAGCCAGGGCTAAGAGCGCCAGCCACGCCCACGCTGCACGTGGACAGGGCAGGGCCAGAGGGGGACCAGTGGGAACAAGGATGGCCAGTCGGCGACCCTCCGTCCCCGCTTCCCCAAAACGGAAGCTCTAGTTGGCCGGGATTCACAAACTGACGCACACATGTTCACTCGGTGAAATGCTTTGAAATGCTTTTGCCAATTCTTTGTGAACGAGGCCTTCGGCAAGGCTGGTAGGCAACCAAGGAGCTCCCCCAATGTCGCCGAGTGTAAGTGCAGTGGGCAGAGGACACCCCTGAGGCCCTGCTCTCTTCAGCGGGGAGAGGAGCGTCTCAGGGAACATTGGGAAGATCGTGGACTCCCACGCGGAGGTGCAAGACAGGAGCTTCCGGAAGACCCACCTGTTCTCACGGCCAGGACAAGGTCCCGCTAACCATGGGCATCACAGCTGGACGTCACCCCAGTCTCCTTGACCGTGGCTCTGGGAGGAAGGCTTTCGGGCCCTCGGGCATTTACTCCTAGCTGCTTTTCCTGCCGCCAACAAGGGGACCCTCAGGTCCGTCTGCTTTCTTACTCATTTCTTCCTAAGACTTTTCAGCGGTTAGGATTTTTTTTTTTTTTTTTTTTTTTTTTTTTTTTAAAAAATGATGCCTAAGTGTATGCTCGCTTAAAAAAAATAGCTTGTTGATGTTTTAATCTAATGCTGGATAAATCCCCGGAAGCTGACTCAAGGGTTTCTTCAATGTTCCCAGGGATGGTTTTAGGGTCGTGTCTTCTTTGAAGGATTACACATGATTAATAAAAAAAAGAGCATTTAATAACCCAGAGTCTCGTTGGTGTTTGATATTTTGGCTAGATGCGCTGCTGACATTTTATTGACGGGGGCTCTGAGACGCTGGCGGTGGGCCGGGGGAGAGGGTGCGTGTTGACAGGGGGGCGGGGGGGAACGTGTTGCTATCAGAAGGCCCGGCTCTGTGAAGCCGGTGGGATGCCCACTCATCTGCCACTACATGCTGTCCGGGGTGGGGAGGCCTTCTGCTCCCTCTCCAAGGGTAGGGTCTGGAAGTGGATTCTGGATGCTGCCGTGTCCTGTCTCTGGGTGGGGGGACACCTCTTTATGTCCGGTCTGCCCCTCTTGTTCCGCTAGACCAGCTGTGTGCATTTGCTCAGCCCCACCCCCCCCCAAAGACACATGACAGCTGCCCCACCCAGACCCACGGCCCCTGTGACGACAGCGTCCCTCCAGGAGCCCGTGGAGGCGGCAGGCTCCGGCCCAGGCCTGAGCTCACCGGTTCCCGTTAAACGTGGACTTGTACTCCCCCGTCGGATGCAGCGTCTCGTCTGCGTACACGGGCACGGCCGTCCGCACACACTCGTGGGAGCACTGGAGGGTCTCGTTGTAGGCCGTGAAGATGTCCAGGCTGCTGGGCACCCGGGCAGGGGTGAAGTCCGTCAGGTTTTGGCAGCTCTCCTCCTGCTGGTTGGTCTTCCGCTGGTGGCTGGTCCTGCGCGTGTTCCCGCTTTGGGCACAGCTGGAAGAGAGCCAAGGCGACGTGGGGGCGGGGCGGGCCGGCGCCCAAACCCAGCGCCTAGACTGTGCAACCTTCCTCTCCAGGCATTAATTATTCGTCGTTTAATATTAAATGGAAATTTCCAGCCTCTTCGGAAAGATCAACCACAATCAAACAATCGGCTTGCTCTCTTTTTTTTTTGTTGCTGTTGTCGTTAATAAAATCTGAATTGTAAATGTGGCCATTATGGCAGGGCCGCTTATGAGGTAAGTGGCTGAGCTGGGTTATCCCAGAGCTGAGGCTCTGTCTGGCCAAAAGATGTCACCCAGGCAATGGTGTGGATGCAGTTTCCCCACGAATGGGTACGGGTAGGGCTGGTCTGGTGGCTCGTTCTGGAAGGGACGATGTGACTATCTCTGGGGAGAATTAGTGAACCGGGAGCCTTGTGCCTTCAGCCCTGCCCCCACCCAAGCTCCCAGTTGGGGATGAAAGCTGGTCGTCCATCCTTCACTGCCGCCACCAGGTCTATGGAGAGGACTGTTCCGCACTCCCCATGGATACCTCCCTCCTCCTCTGGTCCACAGAGCCTTCCCAACACTGTCAAGGATGGACATGGGCATCCCTCCCTTGTCAGCCAAGGTGTCTGACCCAGAAGACAATCGGTGACCCTCTCAGTCACTTCTGGCAAGTCACAAGAAGGATGAGTAGAAGCCCCATCCCCACGGAGGAGGGCAGCTAGGAGGAAATTTGGGGAGCCCCCAGTTGGAGGAACCTCATCAGGGCACCAGTGCCCCATCTCCCCATCCCTGCTGTGCTCACAGCCAATGCGGAAGAAGTGGCTTTGAGGGGCGAGTGTCCATAAGACCATCACGGCCATGCCCTGTCTCGGTTTCCCAACAAGAGGAGCCCTGCTTCCCGATGCAGAAGCCCCACCCTATAAGCAAAGGTAGGAAGAAAATTGCAAAAGCCAAGGGACTCCCCCACCAAGGTCACGGAACCCCCTCATCCACGGCCTGGGTTGTCCTCCCCAGAAGGACTCTCTGAGGCTTTGCTGTAAACCCCACTGTGGGAAGCCAAGAGGGAGCTGGCCTGTTTGTCACACGGCAGGTGACAGAGTCCTGCCTCCTTTGGGGGCAGTCAAGAGGGTCGATGGGATTTGCCCTGCCATGCACCCATGTGCTCCTGGGCTCCAGAGTCCCTTCTCTGGCCAGCCATCCCCTGCCCAGGACTGCCCTGTGGCGAGCTGAGTGCGGTCCTCATCACCAGTCCCAGAAAACGCCTGGGGTCTAGGGTTTGCCAGCCTTCGGGAAGCCTCACTGTTCTCCGCGAGGTCGGTTTTGGGGGTTGTGCCAAGCCCCTCCTTCCCACCTTTGCTGACCCTGGAGACGGGCTTTCTCTCGAATTTCCGTTGTCTGGACACTCGGGGGCGGCTGCCACCCATGAGCCCTGTAGGATTTCCTGCACCTGCCGGCAGCAGGGGGATTATCTGGGTGTGTTACTCTACCAGGGACTTTGAGCTCTGATGCTAAAAGGAGACACATTTGCTGGAGGAGAGGCTGCAGGCACACAGGGCCTCGGAGGTGTGTGTTCAGCAGGGTCACCCGGCAGTGCCCCGATTTTCCCAGGGGTGTAGCAGGTGCATACACCCAGCAAGGCCAACCTCAAAGTAGGCCAGTTTCCAGGAGGAAACAGGCAAAGGCAGGCGGCCTGGAGCAAGGCAGTAACCTAGTTCAGCAGACACAGAGCGGCGGCAAGAAGAAGGAAGGATTCAAGGCGGCTGAGCCTGGACAGCCAGGGGCAGCGAGGGGTGGGCACAGATCTGCCCAGGCCACCAGTGTCGGGTGGGTGACATCGCAATTTACACACGAGGGCAGAGACAGACAGGGACAGCTGCCACCTGAGAAACCATCACGGAGGCTGGGCTCGCCCGTATTCTGCAGAGAAAACCACGGTGAGGGGGGACACTCCCCAAGGGCTGTATCTGGGAGCCAGCACCCGTGGCCGGCCGGGCTGCCCCGGGGCCAACGGGGAGCAGGGTGTAGCACCAGGTTCTCTGACCCAAATGAAAACTCAGTGATGTGGGACCGGGTTTGAAAAGTAGGAAAGCCTCTGTGCACACTTCCCAGGGGACCCCCCCATTTCCAGGCCAGAGGGGCCGAGGAGCCTTACCAGTTTTTTAAGACAAGAGTTGTAATCAGAGCAGCTATGACCATGATGAGGGAGACAGTGATGGTGATGATCTGATGAACAGCCAGACCTGGAAGAGAGGAAGTGGGGGGCAGCCGTGAGACCAGGGTGTGAGCAGAGGAGCCCAGCAGGGGCAGGGCCCTGTTCCTGCCAACTCAGGTCTCTCCTTCCCCAGGTGCCCTGGCTACCAGCGCTGTTGTCACCGGAAGTCCAGGAAGCGAGGCCCCAGCCCCGGCCTCTCTGGGTCCCCCAGCTGTGACCGGGCCCGCGGGCAGCTGTGTCCTTTCTCGCACCTACCTGCCGAGCCCGCCACCTGGCCCAGGAAGGCTCTGGCTGACGCATTCCTCCAGCCCCTGTCACCCCTCCTCCCCCCTGGGTGAGGGACAGCACCTCTCAGCAGCAGCGCATTTGGCCTGACGCAGGAGGAGCCAGGACGGCCCAGGATTTGTTGGGAAGGTGGGGGACAGTGAACGTGGGTTGACACCCCCCGGCAGACTCAGGGGTACTTGGATCGCTGGGGTGGTAGGAAAGGCTCCCACTTGCGGTCCTCTACCTGAGGCTCTTTTCCTCCTGACAACACATCTGTCACTACCTTCCTAGAACACGGACACTGGGGGCAACCTCAGCAGACTCCACTGGTCCGTAAAAGCCACGTGCAGAGGCCTTGTCCTCCTCCAGTCAGATAGAACCCTACCTGAGGAGCCAGGCCGTAAAGGTCCCGGGGGCTCCGCACCGAGCCCTGCACGCAGCAGCGTCTTGCCCCACCCAAGTGCCCGTTTGCCCTGTTGTGTTCTTGCACCTGGGTGTTTAAGCACCTGCATCTCTCCATCTGCAGAGGCCCACCTATCACCCCAGAGGGACCCAGCAGCTCCCGGGGGGGGGGGGGGCGGGGGGGGGTGAGAACAGCACGTGTGTGTGTCCCAGTGCGGAGGATCTCAGAGTAGAAGATTTTTCTGGCGATCTCCCAAGGACACAGTCTCGCAAACAGATGTTACCTCTCTACTGAATATGATCCTCGTGGGGGGAATGGCTAATAAATGATTCAAAGTTGGCATGCTCAGAAAACAGGCTTTCTCCTCCGGTTTGCCCATCATCCGGGATATTTCTGTTTGTCGTGAGGGATTCCCGTCCCGAGCCCACAGGATAAGCACCACTAGGAAAACTGGAGAAGGCACATGGATTTGGTGCATGGAAGTCACGGACTTCCCCTCATTTATTCTTTTATCCACTGGTTCGAGAACCAGTTACTGAGCACCTCCTGCATGCCAAGCAGTGTTAGTTCTGACCAGCTCAGCCATGGTGCCCACCTGGAGCTGCTCTAGTGCCCAGTTTTTAAAGTGGCAGCATTCACTGCTTGCTCTGGACGATGGCTTAACATACACCTATGCCCAAGTTGTGGCACCTGCTATAAGCCTTTGGGCCAGTTTACTTTCTCATCTAAGACTGCCAAGTCAGCTTTGCAATGGAACTGATAGCTAGTTATGCCGCAGGAACCACCCTCTGTCTCACCAACAATGGAGTGCCCACCAGCTCCAGTAATCCCTAACTATTCAGCAGCTTCCCCAACACCCAACCGAGACCTTGTTGGCAGAGGAAGGGTTGAAAAGGATGCTGATGGTGAGTGATGATGATGATGGTGATGGTGATGGTGATGATGGTGACGATGATGATGGTGACGATGATGGTGGTGTGATAGTGATGATGGCGATGGTGGTGGTGATGGGGATGATGGTGATGGTGATGATGATGGGGATGATGGTGATGGTGATGATGATGGGGATGGGGATGATGGTGGTGGTGGTGATGATGGGGATGGGGATGATGGCGGTGGTGATGATGATGGTGGTGGTGATGATGGTGACGAATGTGGAGATGATGAGAGTGATGATGGTGATGATGGTGGTGATGATTATCTCAGGCATGCTCAACAAGTTGTAGCAATTGTCAGATGTGCATGATCCCATTTATTCCTGATAACAACTCTCAAAGGTAGATACTGTCAGCATCGGTCATGGAAGTGAAAACTATGTGGACCAGTTTGTGTAAGTTCCCTGGATCACATAGGGTCTATTGGCTCCAAAGCTCGTAATAAGAGCAGTAGTACATGATTCTGAGCTCAGATTTCATTCATCTGGTTTTGCTCTGACCTTCTTTAATCTCAGTCTTGGTCTCCTTTTCTCCCAAGACTGAGGCTGGCGCCTCTCTAATCTACATTCCTGGAGAAGAACATTCGTGGAGGCAGGCTCTGGAGCCTCATCATCCCCTCCACAGATAGATCCCTTGGGAAGTGCTCTGGGTCCAGGCAAAAAGCTTCTCAGGCGTTTGTTGGCAGGTTACACCCCAACTCCCATGGCAAGAACTGAGTCTTTGTTTCTTGGGCTAAACCCTCCATCTTGTAGGTCAGGCGAATTCAACTTATGGAGGCTAGTGATATAAAAGAATACCCTGAGTGGGTGAGCCAAGAGGAGCAGCAGGGGCTGGTTGAACTTCCAGGCGAGGCCTAGCCGGAGGCACCGAGAGCCCTTTCAAGAGCAGAGCTCTGTGCCGTCCCTTCCCCAACATCTGCAGGACCATGGGAGGCATAGGGCACTGCCAGATTTTGACCTCTCGTCTTCCTACTATGGGAATTCTGTTGCGTTGAAAAGCTTCCGTGATAAAGTCCTTGGAAGAGAGGAGTTCCAAGACCAGCCACATCTTAGATGTCTGACTGCCTCCCATTCCCCCTGTGGGTTAGGATGGTAAAGCATTGATTCTCCCAGTCTGAGAGATGTAAGAAACTGAAGCCTGGGGGAGAAATAGTTGGCTCAAGGGCCCCCCTCCCTCACTGATGACTCTCAGAACAGATTAGCCCTTCGCTTGAGGTCCTCATAAGTCCCTGAAGCTCCTTAAGAAAGGGTGTCATCATCTTTACATCCACCCCTGGCCCCACGCATGCTCTAACACAGTCCCTTACAACTGTAGCTATGGGACACATTACATTTATAGTTGAAAAGTAGAATATAAAAATGAAGGGAACAGGGAGAAAGATATAATCCCAAGGTGTGCCTTGTTCTGGAGGCCCTTCTTCTGACTTTGGTGTGAAATTCCTCCATAGAACTTACCAAACTAAAATTTGGCAGAAATGATATATGGGTTAATAGCCAGCCAGATCATCTGGGTAAAAACATGACAATAATAGAATGGCTATGCTTTCTGGAAAGACTTCTCTATGCCAGGCGCCTTGCTAAGTCTTCACACATGATCGATTTAATCCATCAGCATCCTGCACTTTTTCACCTGCCTGACCAACGAGGAGCCTGATGCTGAGGAGTAAAGTGACTTTCCCATCATCACTTGGCAGATCCAGGATGGAAGGCAATTCTCTGCTCCAGGGCCTCAGAGAAAATAAAATATCTAACGCCAAACTAACCCATCTGTGGCCACATTCTGGTCATAAAATTGGCTAGAGGCAAACATCTGACTACTCCTCACATACTGCCTTTGCAAGGCAAACAGCCTTCTGCTTCAATGCCTGGCCCATAGGTCTTAATGGGCCCCTGGGCTCATGCACAAAACGTCAATGGCTACAAGACGATCCCATAGACCCCATACTCATGATGGCTGAACAAGGATCAGGACTTTTGACGTGTGGCAAGAATGACACTTGTAAGAAGCAGTTTGGAAGACAGAAATCCATAAGGATGCCTCCCCTCATTTCCTTTCTTTGGGAGGTCGGCTACTAAGAAGAGAACAGAACAACGTGTGAGAAGTGGTTCCGTGTCAATCATCTGCCCTGTTATGTAGTCCTCTCCAAACGCCAGCCGTCCTTCCTTCATCTGTGTAAATCCCTGTAGTCTGGCCATAAAGGGGCAGAGAGTAAATATTTTAGGTTTCGCAGGAAGTGTGGTCTCTGTTGCAACTTCCCAATCCTGCCATTACAGGGCCAGACCAGCCACGGCCCATGTGCCAACCAATGGGCGTGGCTGTGTGCCAATAAAACTTTATTTACAAACACAGGCAGCGGCCAGATTTGGCTCATAGGCTATAGTTTGCTGGGCTCTAACTTAGGTGAATAGCTGAAGGTGGTTTGTCTTATGAATTAATGAGAATATATATCTGTTTTGAATGATTGGTTAAAGCCAGGACTCCAATGGCAATCCTTTGGTTCTGAAGACTAGAACCTTCCTCCTCCATCTTCAAAAGTTTACTGAGTTCTGAGAATTTCGCTGGCCAGTTTCACCCCGCTGGGTTTGTCTGTGTGAGGTTGGCTTGAGAATACATCATGATGCACAACAGTTCCCTTGAGAACTCAATAGATTGGATTCTTGGTGTTTGGACACCAAAACTCAGGGAGAATGTTACCAATGTAGTCCCTCCAAGGACCCGCAGAGTTATTTTAGCCATATGTCTCCATTTCCTCCATTGGGGTAGAAAAGGAGCCGCATTTTGTGACAAGACGAGAACCTTCAGGTCACAGAACTGGTGTACGGAGAGGGACCTTTCCCTACTGGCTTTCCTCACCCCACACAAATGACAGGGTTCTTAGGAGGCTCTCTCCCCCGATTCTCTCCTTCCCCACTCCTTTCTGCTGATACTTACACCTTAAATAATGTCCCCTCTGGTCAGGTCCCTTGTGGCCATTGCATAATGCAGGCAGGAACATCTGTCCCCCAAACCCCACTGACCCTGGACAGGGCAATGTTAGTAGTAGAGTATCTACAGCCCGCTGTCAGGGAGGCTGCGATCTGGCGAACAATGATGTTACCTTCAGGGAATGTGCACCCCCTGCTTTTCTCCACCCCCCAGAAAAGCAACAAAACACAGACTTTCTCCCCTCTATTTACAAGGTCACCATCGAATCTATCTTCAAATGCTCTGCAATTCAGACCTGGTCCCAGAGTGCACGGCATGCTGTGCGGGGGGTTCTTGCTTCCCCTTCCTGACAGGTGTTATTGTTCCTGCTAATTTAGGGGCTCTTTCTGCTCCTGGTAATTGCCACTGTATACTAATGTGCTAGGAATCAGCTGCCATCCAGATAATGAAAAATTATACCTGGAATAATGGATGGGGACAGATGGATTAGCGAACTCT